CATCGTCATCACCATCACCATCACCATCACCATCATCATCATCATCATCATCATCATCATCATCATCATCATCATCATCATCATCATCATCTGTTATCCTCATCCTCATCCTCATCCTCATCATAGTCGTCATCATAGTCGTCGTCATTGTCATCATCATTGTCATCATCATTGCAATCATCATCAGCATCAGCATCAGCATCAGCATCAGCATCATCATCATCATCATCATCATCATCATCATCATCATCATCAGCATCAGCATCATCAGCATCAGCATCGTCATCAGCAACATCTTCATCATCGTCATCACCAGCAACAGCATCAGCATCAGCATTAGCATCAGCATCAGCATCATCATCATCATCATCATCAGCATCAACATCATGATCATCATGATCATGATCAACATACGGAACATCATAATGATCATCATCGTGATCATCAACATCATCATATTCATCATACCAGAATTCCCCCTGGACCTATCGATCCCCTCCCTGGGGCCCGCGTCTCATCCCGGGTCGGCCTCTGAGGCCCCCCAGGGGCCCGAGACGGGCCTTCGAAGGCGCCGAGCGTGGGCACAAAAACCGAGGTGCCAGGTGCCTGCCAACCAGACCACCCCTACCTCGGGGGCGGCCAAGAGGGGGGCGTCCAAGAAGGGGAGCGTAAATCATGGCCGGCGGCATGTGCGCGGCCCACGGGGGGGGGGTCCCAGGGAAGACTCTGGCGGGAACCCCCTCCCTAAGGGGCCCGCAAACCACGTTACTAATCCGAGCGGATCGTTCGGATCCTGTAACTGTCGTCATGCTTGGCCCCCTCATGCCGAAATATGGAGGAAATATCAGGCGGGAACCTCGTCGGTGGGTGACTTGTGACGAAATCCCAGGCGGGAGCTTCCTCCCTAAGGGGCGCGCGAATCATGTTACGAATCCGAACGGGTCAGTCGGATCGTGTACTTGTCGTCACTTTTGGCCTCCTCATGCCGAAATAATGAAGAAATATCAGGCGGGAGCCTCGTCTGTGAGCGTATTGTGAGGAAGTCTCAGGCGGGAACTTCCTCCCTAAGGGGCCCGCAGATCATGTTACGAATCCAAGCGGGTCATTTGGATCTTGTAAATGTCGTCACTTTTGGCCTCCTCGTGCCTGAATATGGAAAAAGTATCCGGCGGGATCCTCGTCTGTGAGCGTACTATGAAGAAGTCTCAAGCGGGAGCCTCCTCCCTAAGGCTTCATGGGGTCCTCACCTCCCGTTCGAATTCCGGGCGGGCCATCGAAGCCCTGTAACTGTCGTCACGCTTGGCCTCCTCATGCCTGAATATGGAGATATCAGGCGGGAGCCTCGTCTGTGAGCAAATTGAAATGGAATCTCATGGGGGAACTCCCTCCCTAAAGGGCTCGGACTGCACGTTCAAATCCGGAGCGGGTCATGGAATTCCTGTAACATTCGTCACTTTTGGGCTCCTCAGGCCGGACAGGACCAGCATAATGGTCGTTGCCGTCTCGCGCGCGCAGGCGAAGAACATCTCCACGGAGACTGTCAAGGCCAGAACGCCGCACAATGCCTGTGCCATGCGAACCCACAGCGCCACAGTGACATCAACGCGAAACTGCGGCCGGGGGGCATGCAGCAGAGGTGGTTGTGGGAGCACGTCCGCGCTCTTGCCATCGAGGGGTTAAGCATGGTGGCGCCCGCGCTGTACAACGCGCTGGACCTTCGCGCGCGCCACGGACGCAGTGACACGCACGACGTGCAGGAGTCCACCAACCAGCGGCCGCACCACCACTTCGGGCGCGTCCCCATCGTGTTGCACCTCGGCGACTTCCTTCAGCTGAGGCCCACCGGCAGCATTGGCTTCCTGACGGACCCGAACGAGCGCCTGGACGACGACGGGCCGCACAAGGACGCGGACCCGCCGACGGTAGAGCATCAGCACGCCATCAAGGTCTTCTCTCATATCCCCTGCGTCTTCGAGCTGAAAGCACGAAACGCTTCGAGCCCGGGGACCCCTTGATCATCAGGCTCTTGAGCTGCACGCGCGAGCGCAAGCCCTTCCCGCCGGAGGTCTGGTCCGCCTGGGAGAACACGTTGGCCTCCGACAACCACGGCGTCCTGGACCCTCGGCGCAAATAAGCACGATAAATTTCGGCTCGGCTACGGCATGGGCATATACTGGGACGCCCTGGCGAGGTGGATCAACAAGCGCGCTCGTCGCGACGCACGGCGCCTGGGCATGCCCCTTGCTCTTTTCTGCAAGCCGTGGACGAGTACAGCTCGCTCGATTCAGAGCGATCCCGACGCAGGTCGGCGCCTCCTGAATGTCCCGGACATGCACAAGACGGGGGACATCCACGACGTCTTGCTGGCCCACGTGGGCATGGAGGTGCGGTTCACAGCCGCGCAGGAAGAGCTGAAGAAGAAGTTGGGACTCGTGCAGGAGCAGCGGGCCACCATCGTGTCCTTCGAATTCCAACACGAGGACGAGCATCGGTACGAGGAGCGGTCGGCTGGCCAGCTCTTTCGCCCCCGCTTCCTACCGGGGAGAATCTGGCTGCCGGTGCACGGCTTCAAAGAGTCTCCGATCTACCAGTAGGCCCCCGAGGTGCTGCGACAGGGCGCCGAAGACGCCGACGACGACGGCGAGGCCGAGGCGCGGGCGCGGAGCTTGCTGATGTTCAGGCCCATCGAGCAGGAACCCAATTGTCAGAGCTCGGTGCCGCACACCGTGCGCCGCCCAGAGTTCACCCTGACGCACGCGTCCTGCCTGACCTCCACGCTGTCGCAGGGGCCCAAGCGCTGCGCAAAGGCATCACCATCGACTGCGCGAGAGACGAGGACGCTGGCCGCACGGGCGCGTCGGACGAACAGTGGTGGCTGCACCTTTACGTCATGCTCTCCCGCGCCACGCGCATGCGGAACATGCTGATCCTGCGGCCGCCGCAGTTCCTGGAACGAGGGCCGCCAACGTCTTTGCGGAAGGCGCCCGAAGAGTTCGACAAGAGAGCGGGGTGGTCCAGGGCGGAGGCGGGACAGCTCGCGGCACAGCTGAGTTTCGTGTTGCCTCCCGCCTGAGCGCGGCTGCGCCCCGCTCGAAGCCCGCGGGGTTGTCCCAACGGCTTGGTCTTGCGCGCCAGCGGCTCGCGCGGATGCCCAGACGTCCTGGCCAGCGGGGTTGTCCTAACGGCTGCGCGACGTGGCAATTAGGGAACGCGCCCGTGCCGAGGCGGCGACGGCGCCGAGGAAAACCGACATGCGCGCTCATGCAATAGAAAGGAAGAGGTGGCGGGGCGCGAAAAAACAGGAGAGCGAGGATGTGGGAACCGTAGGGAGCGGGAGGAGGACCTGCGCCAGGGCGAGAAGAAATATACGCAGAAGAAACAGCATGGGCGCCTCACCAATCACGAGGCCGACGGTGAGGTCTTTCCGTCGAAGTAACTGTCGCATCAAAACCCCACCAGCCCTTTGGGCGTGAGTGGTTTAGAGAGCCCGCTCTGTTCTCAACCCCCCTTCTTCCCCTTCGGGGAGGGGTTTACCCCTCCCCCTACCCCCTCCCCCTGGGCCTGGAGAGGGCGCCCCGCGGGGTGGTTGGATGGGTCTTTTTCGACTCCAGGGAGGGCTAAAATTCGACACCCCTCACGAGGAATCTGGCCCCGACGGGGGGAGGCAGAAAAGTGCTCGCCTCATCTGTGATCGATCGCCCGACAGATGGCCCCAAGATTCCTCCCAGACCCCTCCCAGAGAGCCCCACGAGGCCCCAAGAGGCCTCCAAGAGGCCCCCAAGATGCCCCCAAGAGGCCCCCAAGAGGCCCCAAGAGGCTCCCCCGAGGCACCCACGACGCTCCTGGAAGCCCCTGGAGCCCGAGGATTCTGGCCCCGACGGGGGGGGGGGGATAAAAGTGCTCGCCCCATCTGTGATCGATCGCCCGACAGATGGCCCCAAGATTCCTCCCAGACCCCTCCCAAAGAGTCCCAAGAGGCCCCAAGAAGCCTCCAAGAGGCCCCCAAGATGCCCCCAAGAGGCGCCCAAGAGGCCCCAAGAGGCTCCCCCGAGGCACCCAAGACGCTCCTGGAAGCCCCTGGAGCCGCTCAGAGGCCCCCAAGACGCCCCAAACGGCCTCCAAGAGGCTCCCAAGAGGCCCGAAGAGGCTCCCCCAAGGCACCCAAGACGCTCCTAGAAGCCCCTGGGGCCGCCAAGAGGCCCCGAAGACGCCCCAAAAGGTCTCCAAGAGGCTCCCAAAACGACTCACACCACGACGAGGGCCCCGAACGACTCACACCACGAGGAGCCCGAACGAGTCACACCAGGAGGAGGGGCCCGAACGACTCACACGACGACGAGGGGCCCGAACAACTCACACCACGAGAAGCCCGAACGACTCACACCAGGACGAAGAGCCCGAACGACTCACATCACGAAGAGCCCGAACGATTCACACCAGGAAGAAGGGCCCGAACGACTCACACCAGGACAAGAAACCCCAAACGACTCAAACCACGAGGAGCGCTTTCTCTCCCTCCTCCTCCGCCTCGTCCTTCTCCCGCTCCCACCACAAGGAGGATGTACAAGGAGGCGGGAGGAAGGAGGAACAGGGGAGATATGCGGGGGCAGGCGGAAACACGCCTGAAAAACACGACTGTCGGCATGCTTCGCAAGAGTTGCTGTTTTGAGATGAGCTGGTGGGGATACGCGAAGCGTAAAGAATTACAAACCCGCGGGATCTGAGAAAACCACCGTGTGCCAACACCGCTGCTCCCCAGATCTCTCCTGGGGTGCGGTCGGATCATCATCTCGAACTGAACGCAGCCGTGGTGACGAAGGTTCGCCAGAAGGCCCAGAACCCCCCCCAAAAAAAACCCGAGTATAATCTCGGTACCTTTTCCTCCTACGAAGATCTCTGGGCTGACTTCCCAGACATGCGACGTCTTGATTTTTTCCAGGCGGCGTCCCTGGAAGTCCCGATTCTTTCCCCGTGACCGGTTTTTCATCCCGAGTCGTTCTTTGACGGTCCCGAGGCCAGGCGAGGGCCCCCCGAGGCCGAAAATTAGCAAAAACCTCCGGTCCTGATTTATTGACGACGCGATCATGTCTGACTCCCCCCCCCCCCCGTAGGGACCGGCCGAGGTCGTCGCGACAGTCCCCGGTCCCGAGCAGCGCGTAGTGGCTGCCCTGGCAGTCCAGCTCCCAGGTGCCACCGGTGTCCATCTCGCCCGCGCGCCACTCCGACAAGCCGCTTGGGAGGCCCCCTCGGAGAGAAGAGGACATTGAGGAGGGTAGAAGTGGATAGCGGCTGCGAGGTCGTCTCACTCTTTTTCGAGCCGGGTATCTTCATCCCCTTCCGGGCTCCGGGAGCATCACAGATCGATCCGGCACTGAATATGCAGCAGCAAGATAAGATCTAGGGCCCAAGTCGTGATGTTTCACAAGGACCCAGACGTGCTCGCGTCGTGGAGACATGTGGGCGAGTCCTTTTCCTGTGTTCAGCTTCTCGGGGCCGTTACTGGGCCCCAGGACGGTCAAAAAAGCAACTCAGGAGGATACAGTCGTCCTGAGGGAAGGTTGGGATGACCGCTCGATGCAGAACAACTCGTTGGGGGGGGGGTCGAAACGTGTGAGGGGTGTGCCGACATGGACCTGAGTACGCATGCGGGCCCTGCCACTGGGGCCTTTGGCGGAGCTCCCTATGGGGCCACGAAAGGGGTGCCGAAATGGACCCGAATGCGCGTGCGGGCCCTGCCACTGGGGCCTTCGGTGGAGCTCCCCATGGGGCCGCGAAACGCGTGAGGGGCATGCCGACCTGGATCCGAGTACGCATGCTGGCACTGCCACTAGGGCTTTCGGTGGAGCTCCCTAGGGGGCCACGATTAGGGGACCAAAAAAGTGGCATAAACATAAAAGCTCTGAGGTCCGCTGCGGATTTCTCGGATCGGCGCTGGACCCCCCTCCCTGAGCGCGCCAGGGGTGGCGCCGGAGGCGCCGCTGGGGGGCCCCAGCGCCGATCCGAGAAATCCGCGCGGACCTCTGAGTTTGTATGTTTATGTCACTTCTTGGTCCCCTGGCGAAACGTGTAAGGGGTCCGCCGAAGTGGGCCCGAGCACGCACGCGGGCCCTTCCTCCGGGGCCTCGGTGGCTCCCTCTAAGGGGCCACGAGACGTGCTGCCGACATGGCTCCGAACACGCGTGCGGGCCCTGCCGCGGGGGCCCTTGGCGGAGCTCCGCCTGGGGCCGGGGAGCTGCCACGGGGGCCTCCACTGAAGCTCCCTGAGGGGCCACGACACGAGTGAAGTGTGCGTGTGTGTGTGAGTGAGTGAGTGAGAGTGTGTGTGGTGCGTGTGAGAGTGAATGTGCGCGTGCTGAACTGGACCCGAGTACGCATGCCGGCCCTGCCACTGGGGCCTTCGGTGGAGCTCCCTGTGGAGCTCCCTGTGGGGCCTTCGGGTGAGGAAGAGGAGAGGAGGGGATGAGGAGAGGAGAGGAGGAGGAGGAGGAGGAGGAGGAGGAGGAGGAGGAGGAGGAAGAGGAGGAGGAGGAGGAGGAGGAGGAGGAGGAGGAGGAGGAGGAGGTGGATGAGGAGGTGGGGGGCGGCGCTGCGAATTCAAAACGAGGACCCAGCACACAGGAGGGCTGGGACCAAGACATCGCATGTCGGGGGATAGAATGGGAGTGAGCAGGTGAGAGGAGGAGGAGAGAGGACCATGCGGAGGAGAAGGAGGCGGAGACAGGACGGAGGCGCTGATGGAGGAGGGGGGGAATGGAGGAGGAGCAGAAGGGAGCAGGACAGGCGAGGAGCAGTTCGGGCGAGGTTAGGATCAGGATCAGGAGCAGCATCTCCCAGGTGCGTTCTGACCAAAGCACCCAACCGTGGCTGCGAGGGACGCACAGCGGTACGGGTACCTCTTCATCCTCTGACTCCACGGATGGGGATTGGGGGGGGGCTGGCTCGGGGGGGGGGGCGGGGGAGGGAACATCGACCTGGATCCTGCGACACATCACCGATATATTTAGGTCGGGCATGTCCTCCTACAGGCGGATTTTGGACGACAGGCGGATTTTGGAGGGAAAATTAAAAACAAAGGCAACAACAACATACCTCCAAAATGGTCAGACATAGTCAACAAATCGTCCCCATACTAATTTTTGACTATTCTGGAATACTCCACCTGCACAGGGACACGCCCGCTTAAAGAGAGATCCGCGATGTATCACTCGAGGTCGGCCTAGGAGGAGGCGTCCAAAACGGGGGGGCGCAAATCATGGCCAGCGGCATGTGCGCGGCCCAGGGGGGCCAGGGACGTAATGAAGTAAGAAGAGGCGCCATGAAACCTGAGGACATATCATGGCCCACGCCATGATATCCATCTCCCCCCCTATCGGGGGCGCGCAAACATGGATTAGCGATCCATGGATTTGGCGCGCGGTCGCCAAATCCATGGATCGGGGGAGGGGCCCTACCTAAAATGCGGCCGGTGCCGCCTCGCCCGGAGGTGAAATCCGCGATTTCTCGCGGAAACGAGACCCGTCGCTAATCCACGCCCCCGTCATCCATGTTTGCGATCGCCTGACATGAAATCAGAAGAAATATCATGGCCCACGCCTTGATATCCATCCATCCCCCCCCCTCTAATTATCACCCCCCTCTTTTCCGCCCCCCGAATCACCGATAGATTTAGCTCGGGCGTGCCCCCCTACAGGCGGATGTTGGACGAAACATCAAAACTAAACATTATCCTGGCAAAGCAACCTAACAGCGATGTGTAGGAGCATAGCTGGAAGCATTCCCCTTAAGATTCAGAAGAGAATCCGGTTGTAGAAATCTGCTGTTCTCGCAGTCGTAGTCGCATTCGCGATGGCAGTCGCAGTGGCAACGGCAGTCGCAGTCACAGCCTCAGCCTCAGCCTGCGGGAGCCTCAGCCTCAGCCTGCCTCAGCCTCAGCCTGCCTCAGCATCAGCCTCAGCCTGCGTCAGCATGAAAAAAGTCTCCCTTCAGCCTCGGCCACAGCCTGAGCCTGCCTCAGCCTCACCCTGCATCAGCCTCCGCCTCAGCCTCAGCCTGCCTCGGCATCAGCCTGCCTCAGCCTCAGCCTCAGCCTGCCTCTGCCTCAGCCTCAGCCTGCCTCAGCCTCAGCCTGCATCAGCCTCAGCCTCAGCCTCAGCCAGCCTCAGCATCAGCCTGCCTCAGCCTCAGCCTCAGCCTCAGCCTGCCTCAGCCTCAGCCTCAGCCTGCTTCAGCCTCAGCCTCAGTCTGCCTTCAGCCTCGGCCTCAGCCTCAGCCTGCCTCAGCCTCAGCCTGCTCAGCTTCAGCCTCAGCCTGCCTCTGCCTCAGCCTCAGCCTGCTTCAGCCTCAGCCTCAGACTGCCGTCGGCCTCGGCCTCAGCCTCAGCCTGCCTCAGCCTCAGCCTGCATCAGCCTCAGCCTCAGGCCTCAGCCTCAGCCTGCCTCAGCCTCAGCCTCAGCCTGCCTCAGCCTCAGCCTCAGCCTGCCTCTGCCTCAGCCTCAGCCTGCTTCAGCCTCAGCCTCCGCCTCCGCCTGCCTCAGCCTCACCCTGCATCAGAGCCTCAGCCTCAGCCTCAGCCTGCCTCAGCCTCAGCCTGCCTCAGCCTCAGCCTCAGCCTGCTCAGCCTCAGCCTCAGCCTCGGCCTCAGCCTCAGTCTGCCTTCAGCCTCGGCCTCAGCCTCAGGCTGCCTCAGCCTCAGCCTGCCATCAGCCTCAGCCTCAGCCTCAGCCTGCCTCAGCATCAGCCTGCTTCAGCCTCAGCCTCAGCCTGCCTTCAGCCTCAGCCTCAGCCTGCTTCAGCCTCAGCCTCAGTCTGCCTTCAGCCTCGGCCTCAGCCTCAGCCTGCCTCAGCCTCAGCCTGCATCACCTCAGCCTCAGCCTCAGCCTGCCTCAGCATCAGCCTGCCTCAGCCTCAGCCTCAGCCTGCCTCAGCCTCAGCCTCAGCCTGCTTCAGCCTCAGCCTCAGTCTGCCGTCGGCCTCGGCCTCAGCCTCAGCCCTCAGCCTCAGCCTGCAGCTCAGCCTCAGCCTCAGCCTCAGCCTGCCTCAGCCTCAGCCTCAGCCTGCCTCAGCCTCAGCCTCAGCCTGCTTCAGCCTCAGCCTCAGTCTGCTTCAGCCTCGGCCTCAGCCTCAGCCTGCCTCAGCCTCAGCCTGCATCAGCCTCAGCCTCAGCCTCAGCCTGCCTCAGCATCAGCCTGCCTCAGCCTCAGCCTCAGCCTGCCTCAGCCTCAGCCTCAGCCTGCTTCAGCCTCAGCCTCAGTCTGCCTTCAGCCTCGCCTCAGCCTCAGCCTGCCTCAGCCTCAGCCCATCAGCCTCAGCCTCAGCCCTCCTCAGCCTGCAGCCTCAGCCTCAGCCTCAGCCTCAGCCTCAGTCTGCTCAGCCTCATCCTCAGCTGCCTCAGCCTCAGCCTGCATCAGCCTGCCTCAGCCTCAGCCTGCCTCAGCATCAGCCTCAGCCTCAGCCTCAGCCTCAGCCTGCTTCAGCCTCAGCCTCAGTCTGCCTTCAGCCTCGGCCTCAGCCTCAGCCTGCCTCAGCCTCAGCCTGCCTCAGCCTCAGCATCAGCCTGCCTCAGCATTCAAAATGTGGCGCGGGAATGGAGTTCCGGGAACACGAAGATCACGAAGTGGCCTACAGTTGGCTCCGGGCATTCAAGATCATGCCCAGGAATGGAGTTCTGGTAACTCGAAGACCACGAAGTGGCCTACAGTTGGCTCCGGGCATTCAGAATGTGGCCCGGGAATGGAGTTCTGGGAACTCGAAGACCACGAAGTGGCCTACAGTTGGCTCCGGGCATTCAGAATGTGGCCCGGGAATGGAGTTCTGGGACCTCGAAGACCACGAAGTGTGTAACTGCTGGCTAAAAAAAATCCCCGCCACCCTCCCCCGGATCGCGCCCAGACCCCCCTGGGGCGTCATGATGCTCTCTTTTGACCCTACTAGAACCTATTAGTCTTCGCTGTTAGGTAAATACTCCCAAAGAGGTCAAGCATAGTAACAAGAACATCGCGCCCACTATATGATTGGTTTACTATTTTTGAACTTTCTTCCTGTACAGGGACACGCCCGACTTAACGGGGGCGCAAATCATATTCAGCGGCACGTGCGCGGCCAGGGGGGGGGCCACGGACGCAATCAAATAAGAAGAGGCGCCATGAAATCTGGGGAAATATCATGGCTCACGTCGTGATATCCAGCCCCCTAGTCTCAGGTCTGGCATGTCCCCCTACAAGCGGATTTGGTGCGAAACATAATTATCCCGGCAAAGCAACCTAACAGCGATGTGTAGGAGCATATCTGGAAGCATTCCCCTTAAGATTCAGATGAGAATCCAGTTGTAGAATTCTGCAGTTCTCTCAGTCGTAGTCGCATTCGCGATGACAGTCGCACTGGCAACGGCAGTCGCAGTCACAGCCTCAGCCTCAGCCTGCCTCAGCCTCAGCTTCAGCCTGCCTCAGCCTCAGCCTGCCTCAGCCTCAGCCTCAGCCTGCTTCAGCCTCAGCCTCAGTCTGCCTTCAGCCTCGGCCTCAGCCTCAGCCTGCCTCAGCCTCAGCCTGCAGCTCAGCCTCAGCCTCAGCTGCCTCAGCATCAGCCTGCTCAGCCTCAGCCTCAGCCTGCCTCAGCCTCAGCCTCAGTCTGCTTCAGCCTCAGCCTCAGTCTGCCTTCAGCCTCGGCCTCAGCCTCAGCCTGCCTCAGCCTCAGCCTGCCTCGGCCGCAGCATCAGCCTGCCTCAGCATTCAAAATGTGGCCCGGGAGTGGAATTCTGGGAAGTCGAAGAGCACGGAGTGGCCTACAGTTGGCTCCGGGCATCCAAAATGTGGCCCAGGAATGGAGTTCTGGGAAGTCAAGAGCACGAAGTGGCCTACAGTTGGCTCCGGGCATCCAAAATGTGACCCCGGAATGGAATTCTGGGAAGTCGAAAAACACGAAGTGGCCTACAGTTGGCTCCGGGCATCCAAAATGTGGCCCGGGAATGGAATTCTGGGAACTCGAAGAGCACGAAGTGGCCTACCGTTGGCTCCGGGCATTCAAAATGTGGCCCGGGAATGGAGTTCTGGGAGGTCGAAGAGCACGAAGTGTGTGACTGTTTGCTTAAAACGAGCCCGGCCCTGAGCCCGGCCCTCGCTGTCCGGATGCCGCCTTGACCTCCCTTCTGAGTCATCAGATGTTCTCTTTTGACACCACTAGAAAACTATCAGTCTTCGCTGTTAGGTAACAAAATGAAAACATACTCGCACATACAAAAAAAAAAGCTAAGCAATGGCCCACAGACTTTTGTCTAATGCTATGTTTGAATGCTCCTCCTGTAGAGGGGCAGGCCCGACTGAACCCTAGTCATCACCCCCCTCTTTGCCGCCTCCGAATCACCGATAGATCCGCGACAAATCCCCTGAAAAGATCAAACAACAAATGCCCCCCCCCAAAGGTCAATAGCCCAGACTACTTCTTCCGACCTTGGAATCTACCTCCTGTGGAGGGACAGGCCCGACTCCACGATAGATCCGCGACAGATCCAAACAAAAATCAATAACAAATCCCCTCCAAAAGGTCAACAATGGCCCAGACTACTTTTTTCCTACCTTTGAATATACAGTCGGGCCGCTGAAAGAAGGAACGCTAAATAAGGAACGAAGCCCTTCTTGGCCCTGTAAGCGCATCCGTGCCCCAGGAGAGCAAGAGGAACAGCACTGGAGGAACCTAAGGAACATCGAGCCCCTCCCGAACCCAAACTGTTCCTTATTTCAGCGTCTTCACTGTACGATGCCAAACAAGAGATGTTGCCCAAAACCAGCAGCGGCCGCTGTTGGGCAGGCGGCCCGCCCGCCTCAGATGGGGGCAATTCCGCGGTGGCGAGGACAGCGAGCCCTTGCCAAAATGAGCAAGAACGTCCGTTGGGCATCGCACGCATTCTTTCCGCACGTACCAAAGCATTTCGTGCCGAAGGATGCGTCTCGACTTGTGTCGGGCGTGTCCCCCTACAGAGGGATTTTCGACGAAACATAAATCATACCCCAAAAATACACCAAAAAGGTTAGAAAATACTAAAAAAGAAGAGTCCCCAGACAATTGTTGGATTATCTTCGGGGTATCTTTTACTTTTCGTCGAAAATCCTCCTGTAGGGGGACAGGCCCGACTTAAGTCCTGATTGTGGAGGGGCAGGCCCGACCCTATCGACAGCTCCGCGACGGATCCCCACATCCGAATCCGCGCGCTCCTGCCGAGGGGGCGGGCCGTCGGGCCCCCACCCGGCGATCCAGCGGCGATTGGGCCTCGAGCCCCTCCTCCTCCCCTGGAGGTTGCCCTTCTGTTCCCTCCCTCCTCCTCCTTCCTCCTCCTCCTCCTCCTCCCCCTCCTCCTCCCCCTCCTCCTCCTCCTCCTCCTCCTTCTCCTCCTCTTCCTCTCCCCCTCCTGCCTCCTAGCTCCTCCTCCTCCTCCTCTTCCTCCTCCTCCTCTCCCCCTCCTGCCTCCTGCCTCCTGCCTCCTCCTCCTCCTCCTTTCCTCCTCCTCCTCCTCCTCCTCCTCCTCCTTCTCTGCCTTTGCTGGAGCCCCGCGTGGGGACCTACAGCGGGCGCGGGCCGCCAGCCGCCGCGCTGCCACCGGGTGCAGCCTGAGGGGGCAACGATGGGGGGGACTGGCATAGGGAGGAACACATCGACCTGGAATCGGCGATACCTCACCGACAGATCGGCGATCGGCCCCCGATAATGAATCCGAACGTGCCTCGGCAGGTTGGGGCTATCTAGCCCCTATCGGCGATCATTGGGCGATCGGGGGTCGAGGCGGCCTCCCCTATGCCTATCCCACCCTTGCTGCCCCTGGCGGCCCTCGCTCATCCAGGGCCGGTCGTCCAGGCTCCAGCCGGGCTCGCCCAGGAAGTCGCAGCCGTCGTACCAGTAGAGCCTGTGGTGCGCGGCGGACGGGCGGCGGAGGCTCGGGGTGGGAGGAGGAGGAGGAGGAGGAGGAGGAAAGGAGGAGGAGGAGGAGGCAGGAGGCAGGAGGAGGAGAGGAGGAGAGGCAGGAGGCAGGAGGAGGAGGAGGAGGAGGAGGGGGGGGTGGAGGAGGGGAGGGGAGGGGGGGGGGGGGGGGGGCCCGGCGTTGCCAGCCTCTGGAGGCCCTCGCTGGGCCCTGAAACCATGCAAAGCACACCAAGCGCTCCTAACAGGAGTGCAGGATGGCGCGAGGCTGGGTCGCGTCGTGCGCGTCGCGGCGTTAGAAAACAGGCAGCTGCCTCCGCCTGGCTGAGATGAAACAGTTGCTCATGGAAGATGGAAGGGGCGGGCGCTGCACAAAGCAGCAATCGAGCGAAGAGGCAGGCCTCGGATTTCGAAAGGGCCTCGGCCAATTCGTCCAGCTATCAGGCGAAGAGGCGGCCGTTCGTCGCCTCGAGGGCATCGGCCAAATGCGTCCACTGGCGGACTGCATCGTAGTCGGTGGCGCAACCGTCGAAACGCCGAATCAAAAAAAACGCTCACCAATACGAGCGCCTCTCTGCGCATGAACTTGCGGCCTCCTAGGGCCTCCTGGAACTTACTGGGGCTTTCTGGGACCTCCTGGAGCCTCTTGGTGCCTCCTGTGGCCTCCAAGGCTTCCTGTTGCCTCCTGAGGCCTCTTGGGAACTCGTGTGGCCTCCTGGGGCCTCCTGGAGGCTGATGGGGCCTCTTGGGGAGGAGGCGTGCCCCAGGAGAGGCCCAACCTACAGGATTTAACGTGCATGAAACCTTTGCGGATTGGAGCCACAGGAGAAGGGCAATCTTTAGGAACACGCGTAATACACAAAGGACTCGTGCCCCAGGGGAGGCCCAATATGTAGGAAGATACGTAAAACACTCAGGCTTGAATACACAAGAGAAGGACAATCGATGGAAACATACGTCAACGACAGAAAGTGTTCGTGCTTCAGGGGAGGCCAAATCTATAGGAGCATACGTGCAGCACGTGGGCTTGGAGCCACTCCTGTAGCCTTCTGAAACCTCCTGCTCCTTGGGCCTCTTGGGGCCTCCTGGTGCCTTCCAGGGCCTCCTGGTGTTCCCTGGCGATTCCGACGGCCTCCTAGGGTTTCCTGGGGCCTCCTGGGGCCACCTGAAGCCTTCTGAAGCTTTTTGGTGCCTTCTGGGGCATCTTGGGGCATCCTGTGGCCTCTTCAATCTGCTTGTGGCCTCGTGATGCCTCCTGGGACCTCCTGTTGCCTCATGGGTGCCTCCTGGAGCCTGCTGGAGCCTCCTGTGGCATGCTGGGGAGGATCCGTGCCAAGGAGTCTGGCCACAGAAACAGGGACACCGACCGAGAAATCCTCTAATTCTGGCCCCTCTTGAGGGCGAGCATGGGCGCCTCGCTCGAGACATCCTCCAAATCTGCTCCGAAAGCGGAGGGTGTCGGGTGGTGAAGCAGGCAAACCGCTCGAAGCATCACCGCCATTTTGACGCGAGCGGAGGAATGCAATACCACCGCGCCTCGCTCGAGAGTTCCTCAGAATTTGCTCCGCCATCATCATCATCATCATCATCATCATCATCATCATCATCATCATCATCATCATCAGCATCAGCATCAGCATCAGCATCAGCATCAGCATCAGCATCATCATCATCATCATCATCATCATCATCAGCATCATCATCATCATCATCATCATCATCATCATCATCATCTTCATCTTCATCATTATCATCAGCATCGTCATAATCGTCATCATCATCATCAGCATCATCATCAGCATCATCATCATTAGCTGCATCACCATCATCATCATCATCATCAGCAACATCCCCCACAATCAGCATCACTACCATCATCACGTAAGAGGGCATATCATGTCATACAATGACGTAACATACCACAACACATCACACCATACCATACCATATCACAATATTTCAGTGTAGCAGAACATGTCAAAACCTAACCTACCATATCATAACCCATCACATCGTACCAGACATAACATAACACAATAACATAACATGATGATTAGGATACATGAATGAAGGAGATGGAGCGGTCGAAGTAGTAAACATTCACTGCGTGGAGCTCCCCATATGTGCATCTATTAGCATGGACCTGTCCGCCGTGAGTGTCCAGGCGCAAGGGTTTTTCGAATATAAGCGGGCTTGAGTATTGACGGTCTGGGAGTGCATCTTACTGTGAAAGAGTTGGAGTGCGAAAGAAGCTCAATCATATCCGTGCGTCTCTGCGCATGAGCCTGGGGCCTCCTGAGGCCTGCTGAAACCTCCTCGGGCTTCCTGGGGCTCCTCCACCGTCTGGGGGCCTCCTGGGGCCTCTTGGGGCTCCCTGTGGCCTCCTGAAACCTCCTGGAACCTCGTGTGGTCTCCTGGGGCCCATCCTATGGGAACATCATAAAACACGCTTGCTGGCGTCAAGAGTGTCCCCCTCCTCCACCTCCTCTTCCTCCTCCTCCTCCTCCTCCTGCTCCTCCTCCTCCTGGTGAGGCAGTGGGGCACATGGGCGAGGGGCGCGGCGCGGCGTCCGGGCGCCCCCTTGAGCGCGGGAGACTGGCCCGAGGGAGCCAGGCCCGCAGACGGCTTGAGCCAGCGTCAGGCATTCCCTTGTTAAAACAAAACAACCTCCCCCTCCTCATCCTCCTCTTCCTCCTCCTCCTCCTTCTCCTCCTGCCTCCTCCTCCTCCTCCTCCAGCTCCTCTGTCTCTCCTCCTCCTCCTCTCCCTCCTCCTCCTTCCTCCTCCTCCTGCTCGCCGAGGCGGAGGGAAGAGGAAGAGGCGGGAGGGACGAGAGCGGGGAGCAACGGAGGCGCGCCGGGCAGGCCTCCCGAGCTGGGCGTTGGCGAACCAGGGCCTGTGGTTCCTCGACGAGGGCTGCTGCACGTACTCGCCGTTGTACCGGTCCAGCGGGTGGTGGGAGAGGGCCGGACGCCGGCAGCTACTGGATCGTCGAACTCGGACCCTCGAGCCATCGAAACTCGGTCCGCGAAGCCCCTCCTGGACCCCCCCCGATCCCCTCCCCTCCCCTCCCACCGGGGAGACGTGAGACTCAGGCTCGGGGGACTCATACAGACACAAATCCCAGGATTCCCGGTATTTTCAAAAACATGTTCTGGGATTTTGGCTTCCCCCCCGCTTCCCATAGATTCTTCCCCATATTTTCCGGGAGATCGACAAGACATTGTGTCTGTGTGTCTGTTTCCTTCTTGACACTCGCCAGGAGGGGAGACCCGTAAGACTCGGGCTCGGGGGGCTCGGCTCGGCCCGCAGGGGCCATCATGGAAACGACGCGACCCGGCCTGAAATTTTCACCAGCCTGGAACATATCCCCATCCCTAAGCTGGGCATCGCCTCAACATAATGCCAATCTTAGGGATTCCCTTAGTTTTCCAGGGCACATCCCTAAGATTGTCATCGCCTTTTTGGCGTGTCAATCTTAGGGATAGGGATACGTTCGAGGCGAATGAAATTTGACGCGAACTCCCGCCGCAAGCATCCCACAAGAACCAGACCGTCAAGCTTCGGGCTCGTCAAACAGCGTCGGCCAACCAGCGTTCCTGCGCACTCGAATTTTCCTTCTCCCCGAACCAATCGATTCAGACGAGAGGGGAGGACAACAAAGGAAGGCCGCTTCTTGGCAGGCCCCGGCGCCAGGGGCGAACCTCCGTCCCTATCACTCCCTCAAGACGAAGCTAAGGCGAAGATACAACCGGGTGAGAATAAATCGAGATTCTCTGAGATCCGGCGGCTCTGGAGGATGCCTCGGGCGCCGCGGCCTTTTTGGAGCGTTCTGGAACGCTGTGAGAGGGTTCCGGAACGCTCTGGAAGGGATCTACCCTCGTCCTGGCCCCATCCGATCCCTTGCTCCCTTGTCTGCAGATCTTCATCTCCCATGTGTGTGTTCTGTTTTTTTCAATACGGGGTCCCCGGAAGTCTCGACCCATTCCCCAGAACCGGTTTTTGATTCCGAATCGTTTTTTGACGGTCCCGAGGCCCGGCGAGGGCCCCTAGGGGCCGACATTTGCGAAAAATCTCCGTCTTGATTTATTCAACGCGTTGGATCTATGGGTAAACCCCTAGGCCCAACATCGGACACGTTTGGTGGCGAGGGTGCAGAGCTGCCGGCATCCAGGATGGTGAACCTGGAGCAGTACGGGCTGTGCGGTATCCGCCGCCCCCTGCCGGGCCGCAGGGCGTCGAGGACCGACGTGGGCACCATGTCCACCCATCTTTCCCCCCACATGCTCTGAGGGGCAACGATAGGGGGGAACAGGGATAGGGGTGGAAACATCGGCCTGGAATCGGCGATATATCGGCGGTAGGCCTCCGATAGTGAATCCGCACGTTCCCGGGGAGGTTGGGGCTATCGGACACCTATCGGCGATCAATGGGCGATTGAGGGTCAATGCAAATCCCCCCCTATGATTATCCCCCCCTATCGTTGCACCTGCCTGGTCTCAGAAGCGCTTCGCGCATCTCGCCCGCTGCTCGGGGCCGAGCAGCGGCCGAGACGACGACAATCCCCAAGACGGACAGAGAGCAAACCGAAAACGGCGAGACGGCAATCCCAGAACGGAAAGGAAACTGCTCCCGAAACAAGAACAAAAACGTCGATCTTGAAAACAGGAAAAACAAATCGCCCGCAGCGTTTTTGAGAACATCTGAGCTCGGGGGCGAAGCGTGTGGTCTGTCAAGCAGCCGCCGGCGAACTGCGCAGGAACCTCGGAAGAAGACTCTCCCCCTGAGATCCGGCGCAGCGAAAAGATGTAGCATCGCACAAATCACGTCCAGAGCCCCAGACCCCATCCTTCTGCGTCACGTTTCGAGCTGGGTCGACCTGTGAGGGCCCCGGGGCGCCACACGGAGCACAAACGCCCGTTGCGCAACAAATTGCAACGCCAGGATCTCAGAGATCCGATGTCGTGCTTTTTTTAAATACGGGGTCCCCGGAAGTCTCGGCCCACTCCCCAGGACCGGTGTTTCATCCTGAGTTGTTTTTGGACGGCCCCAGGGCCCGGCGAGGGCCCCTAGTCGGGAGCGGCCAAGAGGGGGGTGTCCAAGAGGGAGGGGGTGCAAATCATGACCGGCGGCATGTGCGCAGACCAGCGGTGGGACCAGGCACGTAATGAAATAAGAGGAGGCGCCATGAAATCTGGGGAAATATCATGGCCCCCGTTATGATATCCACCCCCCCCTAGTCATCACCCCCCTCTCTGCCGCCCCCGACCTATAGGAGCGGAAATTTGCGGAAGGCCTCCGTCCTGATGTTTTCAATGCGTTGGCTCTCTGGGGTCCGAGCCCGATGCGCGAAGGACTTCCGCCCCTCATGGGGCCGCCTCGGAGCCCAAGGGCGATCCCGGGAGGGCCTCGGAGGGTCCCTCGGTGGCTTGATTACCTCGGGAGATCTCGGGCTGTGCACTGGGGGAACAAAAAATGACATAAACTTAAAAACTCGGAGGTCCGCGCGAATTTATCGGATCGGCGCTGGGGCCCCCCGGCGGCGCTTCCGGCGCCGCCCCTGGCGCGCTCCGCGCGCCAGAGGCGGGTCCAGCGCCGATCCGAGAAATCCGCGCGGACCTCCGAGTTTGTTTTGTTTCTGTCACTTTTTGTTCCCCTAGTGCATCCCGAGGGCGGTAGAAGAGCTCAGACCAAGCTTAAGCTGGGCCTGTCCCACTACAGGAGGAATAATCCAAGATAGCCAAACAATAGTCTGGGGACGACTTTTGAATATTCGTTGACCATTTTGGGGTATCTTTTGACTATTTCTTATTTTGTCGTCCAAAATCCCCCTGTATGGGGGACATGCCCGACCTAAGACTAAGCACCCCCGGCAAGCGAACCCATTTTTTGTACAACCGCACAAGGGATGGAAACGAGCACGACAGGGCCGTTCAGCAAATGCCCAGGTCTGCTCAGTGACAGCCGGTTGAGATGGTCGGGGTGGTGTCCCTCTCTGGAACATTATTGGAAAAACATGCACGTACCACACCAAGAGTTAGGTCGGGCATGTCCCCCTAAAGACGGATTCTGGAAGACAAATAGATCTAGTCAAAACATATTCCAAAAAGGCCTGAAAAATACCAGAAACATCGTCCCCTGACTGTTATGACTATTCTTGAAGACTCCCCCTGCAGAGGCACACGCCCGACTCAGAGTTAGGCTGGTCGGGGGTGGTGCCCCTCCATGGAACAAAGTGGGAGAAACATGCACGTATCCTCCACGCGCCCACGTGGGGCCCGGGATCCTTGGAGAGGTGCCCCCACCTGGCCTGGCTGGGAGCCGCCCACCGAGATAGCCTCCCGGGTCGGAGCTCCAGAACGCCTGGTGGCGAGCATGTGTCTCTTACGCTCAGGTCAGGCGTGTCCCCGTACAGGCGGATTTTGGACGACAAACTACAAGCAGTCAGAACATGTTTCTTTGTTTGAAAAAGCTCACAAATACTCCAAACCTCGTCCACCGATTATTTTTTGTTTTACTATGTTTGACTATTCCTCCTGTAGAGGGACACGCCCTACTGACTATTGCTCCGCTGCCTCTGCCCTCCTCTGGTCAACCCAACTGCTGGAGCCAACCAGGTGTGGCGCAAGCCTACCAGATCACCTCGACGTGTATGACGGGCTCGACAGGCTTGCGCGTCAGCTCGTCGACCTGCTGCTGAATGCAGCCATCGGTGCTCGTGTCCAGCTCGACGTCCTCCCCTATCATGTTCAAGACCATCTTGCCGTTGACGCACTCAAGGTCGCCCGAACTTCCGCAACTCGTGCTCCTCACCTGGCAACGTGTCCCGCTTCTGACCGTCGCGCCTGGCGAACACACAAATGCCGGGCTGCTCCAGGGACCCGTGTCGGGGTGCGTCCTGGCCAGGCCCCAGAGGCGAATCCGCGCGGCGACGGGAGCCCCAAAAGGCCAGAGGACCCTGGATAGAAGAAGAAACAAACACATGAACATAAACATGAACTTTTTCCCCACATGCTTCGTGGGGTTCCGGTTTTCTTCCCTGCCGCGCCGCACCCGCGACACACACACCTCACCATTCGTACAGCACAGCTCAGCACAGCACATCACAGCACAGCAAACTCAGCTCAGCTCAGCACAGCACACAGCTCAGCTCAGCTCAGCACACAGCACAGCTCAGCACAGCTCAGCACAGCCCAGCACGGCTCAGCTCAGCACAGCACAGCTCGTGGCACTGGCGCAAAGCCTAGCAAGCGGTGCGCAGGGGGTGGTCACTGAGCGCGGCCGCTATCCGTGCCAGTCGTCCAGGCATAGCAGGCGTGGCACTTTCTCGACACCATAGGGGGTGCGCAGGGGGTGGTCCCTGAGCGCGGCCGCTATCCGTGCCAGTCGTCCAGGCATAGCAGGCGTGGCACTTTCTCGACACCATAGGGGGTGCGCAGGGGGTGGTCCCTGAGCGCGGCCGCTATCCGTGCCAGTCGTCCAGGCATAGCAGGCGTGGCACTTTCTAGACACCATAGGGGGTGCGCAGGGGGTGGTCCCCCTATCCGCGCCGGTCGTCCAAGCCGCAGCAGGCGTGGCAAGTTCTCGACGCCGTAGTGGGTGCGCACGGGGTGGTCCCCCTATCCGCGCCGGTCGTCCAGGCCATAGCAGGCGTGGCACTTTCTCGACACCATAGGGGGTGCGCAGGGGGTGGTTCCCCTATCCGCGCCGGTCGTCCATGCCGTAGCAGGCGTGGCAATTTCTCGACGCCGTAGTGGGTGCGCACGGGGTGGTCCCCCTATCCGAGCCGGTCGTCCAGGCCGTAGCAGGCGTGGCACTTTCTCAATACCATAGGGGGTGCGCAGGGGGTGGTCCCCCTTTCCGCGCCGGTCGTCCAGGCCGTAGCAGGCGTGGCACTTTCTCGACGCCATAGTGGGTGCGCACGGGGTGGTCCCCCTATCCGCGCCGGTCGTCCAGGCCGTAGCAGGCGTGGCACTTTCTCGACACCATAGGGGGTGCGCACGGGGTGGTCCCCCTATCCGCGCCGGTCGTCCAGGCCGTAGCAGGCGTGGCACTTTCTCGATACCATAGGGGGTGCGCAGGGGGTGGTCCCCCTATCCGCGCCGGTCGTCCAGGCCGTAGCAGGCGTGGCAGTTTCTCGACGCCGTAATGGGTGCGCACGGGGTGGTCCCCCTATCCGCGCCGGTCGTCCAGGCCGTAGCAGGCGTGGCAGTTTCTCGACACCATAGGGGGTGCGCAGGGGGTGGTCCCCCTATCCGCGCCGGTCGTCCAGGCCGTAGCAGGCGTGGCAGTTTCTCGATACCATAGGGGGTGCGCACGGGGTGGTCCCCCTATCCGCGCCGGTCGTCCAGGGCAGAGCAGGCGTGGCACTTTCTCGACACTTAGGGGGTGCGCAGGGGGTGGTCCCTGAGCGCAGCCGCTATCCGAGACGGTCGTCCAGGGCGTAGCAGGCGTGGCAGTTTCTCGATACCATAGGGGGTGCGCACGGGGTGGTCCCCCTATCCGCGGCCGCTATCCGAGACGGTCGTCCAGGGCAAAGTAGGCGTGGCACTTTCTCGATTCCATAGGGGGTGCGCAGGGGATGGTCCCTGAGCGCGGACGCTATCCGAGACGGTCGTCCAGGGCATAGTAGGCGTGGCACCTTCTCGATTCCATAGGGGGTGCGCATGGGGTGGTTCCCGAGCGCGGCCGCTATTCGAGACGGTCGTCCAGGGCATAGCAGGTGTTGCACTTTCTCGACACCATAGGGGGTGCGCAGGGGTTGGTCCCTCACCGCGGCCGCTCTGCACGACGGTCGTCCAGGGCATAGCAGGTGTGGCACTTTCTCGACACCATAGGGGGTGCGCAGGGGGTGGTCCCTCACTGCGGCCGCTATGCACGACGGTCGTCCAGGGCATAGCAGGCGTGGCACTTTCTGGACAAAATAGGGGGTGCGCAGGGGGTGGCAACGGCCACCAACATCATTCTTACATGCTTCACTTCAGCTATCATCACTCCAGCCATAATAGAAGTATGTGGGGTTCCTCGGAAGCGTAATTGGCGCTCCGCGCGGATTTCTTGCATTCGCGCTGGGTCCCCCCTCCCTGGCGCGCGGAGCGCGCCAGGGGCGGCGCCGAAGGCGCCGCCGGGGGGCCCAGGCGCGGATCCAAAATCCGCGCGGAGCGCCAACAGTTTATGTTCATGTGGTTTCTTCTTCTTCTTCTTCTTCGAAAAGAGGCTAGGACAAGGGAGGGGCTCCAGCATCAGTACACATTCTTCCTCTGCGCACCGTCGGAGCAGCTGGGTCGCCCCGCGTCGTCCTGCTCCACCCACTCGAGCCAGCCGGAGACGGGCGCGTTGGACAGCTTCGGCCACACGCAGCAAAAGTGCACGGCGGCCAGGTCTGTGGACTGCAAGGGATCTGGGCACTCAGCCGCCGCCGTCTCCAGGTAACGGCCAACAGCCATGGTGATCCTTGGCAGCGCGCACAAGGGGGTGCGGCGACGGCGGTCGGCATTCTGAGAAGACAGGGTGCTTCAAGGAAGGGACCGGGAGCTTCCAAGCATGACTCAAACCATCCCCCGAGTCATGCAAAGAATCCCCCTGCCGCCCCCCCCCCAGCCCTCTTGGACGCCCGAAATGGGTACGGAAAAATTGGTACAATGCCCAACAGCAAATGTTGTCCCAAACCAAAAGCGGCCGCTGTTGGGCAGGCGGCCTGCTGTCTCGAATGGACACAGGCCGCGGCGGCGTGGACAGCGAGTCCTGTTCAAAATGAACAGGGTCTGTTGTTGGGCATTGTACCCATTGTTTCCGTACCCATTTCGGTCGTGCAGAAAGAATCCCCCTGCATTCTTAGAAGACCGCCCCCCCCCCGCCCTAACCCCTTGTGCGCGCGGCCAAGATCCAGCGCCAGCCCGGCAGCAACTGGAAGCGCGACCCCATGTCCTCGGTGCCCGCGCGCCACGAGGACGCTTCCCTCCAGTCGCCCAGTGACTCGTCGAGGCCCTGGAGAGCGACCTCTGAGACCACATACTCAAATCCACCGTTGTCGGTGCTCTCCTGATAGAGCCGTACGCACTGAACCGCTGTCTTCTCCGCAAAGCTCACCTGCAGCCACGCCCCAGGCCCACTGAAATTTGCCGACCTCCAGCCATTGCCCCACTTGACAACCCCGTCGATGGCCTCGTCTGGCCCGTTGTGGTTTGTACTGTAGACACTGCTTGCGGTGATTGATGTTGGCTTTAGCCACCCAACACATCGCAGCCCCCCATCATTGCGTGGCGCGGCGAAGGTGGAGTAGAACTCCACCTCGTAGATGTCCCAAGTGCTCGGCACGCTGTGGCTAGTGTGCCCAGCGTCGACCAGCCGCCACTCCCGCGAGAGGAGTGGTTCGGGCATCGACGTCGTCGGTGGCAACGGCAACGGCGACGTCGTCTGCGTCTCCGTCGTCAGGTCCACCGGCGGCGTCCCCAGCGGCGGAATAGACGACGTTTCCAGCGGCGGCGGAGTCGTTGCAGGCGGCAGAGTCGACGCCGGCGCGGTCGTGCCTGGCTCCGATGGCGGCTGCAGCGTCGACACGCACCGGCGACGCCGGTGCTCTCCACACGTTTGCCGCGAGGGCGACGGGGGGCGGACGTCGGGGGCGGCCAAAGAAGGGGGCGTTAAAGAGGGGGGGCGCAAATCATGGCCGGCGGCATGTGCGCGGCCCAGGGGGAGACCCAGGGACGCAATGAAAGAAGAAGAGGCGCCATGGAATCTGAGGACAGATTATGGCCCAGGCAATGATATCCCTCCCCCTCCTCTTCCTCCTCCTCCTCCCCCTTCCCCCTCCCCCACCTCCTCCCTCCTCCTCCCTCCTCCTCCTCGCTCCTCTCCTCCTCCTCCTCCTCCTCCTCCTCCTCCTCCTCCTCCTCCCTCCTCCCTCCCTCTCCCTCCCCTCCCTCCCTCCTCCCTCCCTCCCTCCCTCCCTCCCTCCCTCCCCTCCCTCCCTCCCTCCCTCCCTCCCTCCTCCTCCCTCCCTCCCTCCTCCTCCTCCTCCTCCCTCCTCCCTCCTCCCTCCTCCTCCTCTCCCTCTCCTCCTCCCTCCTCCCTCCTCCTCCTCCCTCCTCCTCCTCCTCCTCCTCCTCCTCCTCCTCCTCCTCCTCCTCCTCCTCCTCCTCCTCCTCCTCCTCCTCCTCCTCCTCCCTCCTCCTCCTCCTCCTCCTCCCTCCTCCTCCTCCTCTCCTCCTCCTCCTCCTCCTCCTCCTCCTCCTCCTCCTCCTCCTCCTCCTCCTCCTCCTCCTCCTCCTCCTCCTCCTCTTGGCCGCCCCCGAGGACGGTGTCGCTGCAAGCAGCACGCGGGGCGAGCAGCGCGCAGCACAGGGACAGGCAGCGCCAGCGGGCCCGGGCGCACAGCGGCGCCAGCATGCTGCCGGGCAGCCTGCGGCGGGCGCGATCGGCCGTGCGCCTGGGGGCGCGTGCAAGGTTTCCCCCCGGGCCGTAGGCGACCCGAGGAGGAGGAGGCTAAGGAGGTGGAGGAGGAGGACGAGGTGGAGGAGGAGGTTGAGGAGGATGAGGAAAAGGCGGAGGTAGAGGTGGAGGAGGTGGAGGAGGAGGAGGAGAAGGTGGAGCAGGAGGAGGAGGAGGATGAGGTGGAGCAGGAGAAGGAGGAGGAGGAGGAGGAGGAGGAGGTGGAATGGAGGAGGGGGAGGGGAGGGGGAGAGGAGGAGGAGGAGGAGGAGGGAGGAGGAGGAGGAGGAGGAGGAGGAGGAGGAGGACGACGAGGAGGACGAGGAGGAGGAGGGGGAATGGGAGGACGGGTCGCTAAAGCCCTTCGGAGAGACCCTCCTGGGGCGCGGGCGCTCAGCTCGCTCGGCCCGAGCTGGCCGGTCCCGCTGCGGCCCCTTCGAGCCAATCGTCACAGACCGCCCGCCATGAGCGGGCACCGCCCCCCCCCCCTGCGCCTCCCCCTTCTTCCTCCTTCTTCTCTGCCTCCTCCTCCCTCTGAAGGGGCCCCAGGACACACGAATAAATATAAGCAAATAAAATGATCCCCCATATTTTCTCATATTTTCTGGGCTTTTGTCTCCCCCCCCGCTTCCCATATTTTCCCATATACTCTTGGGAGTCGACGATTGATTGTGTCTGTGTGTTTCTTTCCCTCCTGACCCTCTTCTCTCAGGGTCATCACCCCCATCACCGCCCCCGACCACAGGCCGCAATCGATTGGAGTCCCGGAACGGTGCGGTGACAGACCGTGCGGCACGAACCGTGCGGTGACCTCGAAATCCCCCGAGACCTCACCGCACGGTCCGTCACCGCACGGTCTTGGGACCCCGGAGGCCCAAGAGTCGCCCGAGACGTCCTCGGAGAACGACCCGAGTCCCACCACCGTGCGGTGACCCCGAGTCCCCACCGACTCACCGCACGGTGTGGTCACCACCCCGTTTAGGGGACCCCCTACCGTTTCTGTTACGTCGCCCACATCGGGGAGAGGAGGAAAAGGAGGAGGAGGAGGAGGAGGCGGCTCGGAGGAGGAGGAGGAAAGTCATGATAGGAGGAAAGAGGAGGCGGAGGCGGCGGACTTGACGATCTTATCTTACACCCCGTCTGGGGGCCCCCGACATCGAGGAGCAGCGCAGGCATCGCGGGCCGACGCCCGGAGAGCCCCTCCGGGGGCGCGCTCTGCCCCGCAGGCCGCGTTCTGGCCCAGCATGCCGAGGCGGATCCAGCAGCCGTCGGGGACCTCCTGACCCGGGTCGATCCAGGCCCGGGCCAGTCAAAGCCTTGCAGAATGTTGCAGACTCTTTTTGACTATGTTTGAATGGTCCCCCTGTAGAGGGACAGGCCCAATCGGCAGTCGGGGATCTTCGCTCCTCATCGGCAGTCGGGGACCTTCTGACCCGGGTCAGTCCAGACCCGGGCCAGTCAAAGCCTTGCAGAGTCCTGCAGGATCCTGCAAGATCCTGCACTCTACGGCAAACTCCTCCTTCGCTTTTCTGTCATTCTTCGCTCCTCATCGGCAGACGGGGATCTGCTGACCCGGGTCAGACCTGGGTCAGTCAGGCCTTGCAGAGTCCTGCAAGATCCTGCCAGAGCCTGCACCCCAGCCCGGGTCCATGCGAGGGGTCCTGCAAGATCCTGCAGGGTCATGCACCCAAGCCGGGGTCACTGCGACCCTGGCCCTGCAGGATCCTGCAAGATCTGGCGCCCTGGCTGACCCCCGTCTGCATTGACCCCCGTCTCAAGGCTCCTGAAGCCATGGCCACGAGACGCCTCCGGGAGGCACAGAACGCAGAAGAACTCGATCATCGATTTTTAGTTGTATTAATAACATGAATCTTATACAAACGAAAAACTCGATCATCGAACTCGGACCCTCGAACCCTCGAAGCTCGATCCTCGAACCCCCTCCTGGACACCCCCGATCCTACGTTGCTCCCATCGTGCGTAAGGACCACATCCCGGAACCAATCTCGAACACCCAGGAAAATATCTGAACAATGTCGAACGAGTATCGCCCCGCAGGGCCCGACACGTGAAAGCCCTCATGATTCGGTCATTTCTTGGTGCTCGAAATTCTTTCTGGTGATCAAAGCCAGAGAAGGCTGGAACATCATAACCCCGACCCCATCCTCCCCTCCCATCGGGGAGGCGTCAGACTCGGGCTCGGGGGACTCGGGCTGGCCTGACGGGGCCATCATTAAAAAACAAGACGCGAACTCCCGCTGCAAACTCCGAATTCTGGCGAACTCGAGTCTTAAATTTTCTCGATGCCACCCCGCATGGGCCCCTCCCCAGAAATCCGGACTCTCCAACTTTTCCGATGCGTGGGCCCTGGAGGTCTGGACCACTTCCCAGGGAGCCTTGTTCAGAAGAAGAGAGAACGCCACAAACATGAACTTCTGGTGCTCCGCGCGGATTACTTGGATCTGCGCTGAATCCCCCTCCCTGGCGCGCGGAGCGCGCCAGGCGCGGCGCCAGAGGCGCCGCCAGGGGGCCCCAGCGCGGATCCAAGAAACCCGCGCGGACCGTCGAAAGTCCGGGTTTATGCAATGTTTCTTATTGTTCTCTCTCTTCTGATGCTCATGCTTGTGTTTATCGTCTTCTTCGATGCTGTCTTATTCGATGGGTCATTATCCGATGATTCGTTATGCTCATGTTTCTTCGGCGATGTTTGTCGGCGGTCCCGAGGCCGGGCGAGGGCGACCGCAGGCCGAAAGCGGCGAAAAGCCCGCCGCTAAAACTTTTGTCGGAGCGTCGGATCTCTGCGTCCTCCTCCTCCTCCTCCACTTCCACCTCCTCCCCCTCCACTTCCTTCTCCTCCTCCACCTCCTCCTCCTCCTCCTCCACTTCTTCCTTCTCCTCCTCCTCCTCTTCCTCCTTCGCCACTTCCCCCTCCTCCTCCTCCTCCTTCTCCTGCCCCTCCCCCCTCTTCCCCCCTGGCTGCACCGAGGCCGCCCAGCTGCTCGCCGAGGCGCCCGAGGCCGCCCGCGGCCTCCGCGGAGGGGGGGGGGGGCCCACTCCCGGGCGGCGGGCGCACGACGCCCAGCGCCTCCCCCCGCGAGAGGAGCGGGAAGGCGACGACGCCGACGACGACGACGACGACGACGACGACGAGGACGACGACGAGGACGACGACGACGACGAGGACGACGAGGACGACGAGAACGACGCGGACGACGACGACGACGACGACGACGAGGACGACGAGGACGACGAGGACGACGACGAGGACGACGAGGACGAGGACGACGAGAAAGACAGCGACGACAACGGCGGCGACGATGACGACGACGTTTACTACGAAGACGACGCCGATGACGACGACCAAGACGTTGACGACGAAGACGACGACGACGACGACGACGACGACGCTGACAACGACGACGACGACGGCCGAGACATGCAATGTCCAGATTTCTCCCACGCGCGGTCCCCGCAAACCCCGACCTCCCCAGGACCGGAGTCTCATCCCGAGTCGCTTTTTTATGGCACTCCCGCGGCCCAGCGAGGGCCCCCAGGAGCCGAAAACGGACAAAACCCTCCCTGCCGTATTGTTCAAGACGCGAGCAGATCTTGGCGGCGCGCACAAGGGGGTAGGAGGAGGGGGAAGGCTTTTCAGAAGGAGGCTGCTTCTTAGAAGGCGGCGGCCTTGTATCTTTAGAGAAGGCCAGCGCCTTCTAAGATGCAGGGGTGCGTCTAACAAGCCTTCCCCCCTCCCCATTACCCCCTCTGGGGGGCAGGATCGGTCAGCATCAAATCGGGAAATCGCATCACATCGAATCGGCATGAGCGTCGGGCCACACCGCCACGGAGGCGAAATCGAACTCTAAATCGGAGCGGCTGCGCCAGGATGCGCGACGGCGCTTCTGATCAGAGCAACGAGCACGACATAAACATACACGCTGGTCGGAATAGGTGGGTATAAACATGAAGTAGGATGGCGTTTGAAATAGATTGGGCTTCCGCCTGCCCCCTGAAGAGGAGGAAGGAAACCAGTCGGCCCCTAAAGTAGGAAGGCGACACCAGTAGATTGGGATCTGGGAATCCGAAGACACTACTTTCAATGCAGTTGCTTCAGTGGCCGAGTCCTAGAGTCCTGGGCACTTTCCCTGGCAGCTGCCGTCCCAAACCGGCGATGGGAGTGCAGAGGAATCTTTTCCGTCTACAGTCAACCCGTGCAGTAAGAATGCGCGATAAGGATGCAAGGGCCTTGGACGCCCAACTCGAAGCTCCTCGAGCGGGGCGCGGCCAACGAAAGTGGCCAAGGATGGACCGAGGAGACGAGGATGCAAGGGTACCCTTGGGAAGGCTGACTGTACTTCACGTGTACAACTGGCCTCGTCAGGCTGACGGGTGTGCCGGCGGGTGTGTTTGTTTTTGTTGTGTTTGTTCCTTTTGTTTGTGTGTGTGTGTTTTTTGTGTGTGTTTTTTTGTTTTGTATGTTTTGTTGTGTGTTGTTTTTTGTGTGTTTTTTCCTCCAAAGGGCTTCCTGGAGCCCCGCTGCACCCTGCCTCTCTCCGCTCCGCTTCTGGCCCCACCGTCGACGCGGCCCGTTCGATGCTGCACCGCAAGCCCTGTGGGCTCGAAGAGCACCTCGGGGGGAGGCGAGACGCATCCCCGTCGGTCGGAAGAAAAGTAGGCAGAAGTATGACGCAGGAAGGCGTTGAGAGCAGGCTAGGATCCGCCCGCCCCCCTCGGGAGGACGGAGACGGTGAAGCCGCTGGACCACTGAAGGAGGCAGAAACATGAAGTAGGCAGAAACATGAAGCAGGAAGGCGTTGAGAGCAGGCTGGGTTGCGTCCGCCCCCCTCGGGAGGACGGAAAAGGTGAAGCCGCTGGACCACTGAAGGAGGAAGGCGCTCGACGACGATTGGAATCTGAGGAACCCCAAATACCTACTTTCGACCACCGGTGGTTATGAAAGAAGAGAATGCGGCATAAACATAAACTTTTGGCGCTCCGCGCGGGTTTCTTGGATCCGCGCTGGACCCCCCTCCCTGGCGCGCGGAGCGCGCCACGGGCGGCGCCGGAGGCGCCGCCCAGCGCGGATCCAAGGAATCTGCGCGGAGAGCCACAAGTTTATGTTGATGGCGTGTTTCGTCTTCGAGGGTCGCCTAAATCTCATGCCGCTCGGGACCCGATCCAAACACAATTTTTGGTCTGCGGGGCGAGAGCGAACCTCTTCCGCTAAAAGCTAGTCGATCCAAACACAAGTGACACCGAATCCGATGAATCGGATCGACGTGGGCGCCCTGGGGCGACGGCGGCGTCGTCGTCGAGGAGCGCACGCCACTGGCGCTTGGGGCAACCGAAGGTGCCGACACCGCTGCACCGGCCGAGGGGGATGAGAAGGACGAGGATGACGGGCAGGAGGAGGAAGAGGAGGAGGATGAGGATCAGGAGGAGGAGGGGGATCAGGAGGAGGAGGAGGAGGAGGTGGAGGAGGAGGAGGAAGAGGAGGATGCGGAGGAGGATGAGGGTCGACCCCTGAGGGTCGAAGCCGGGCGAAAGCGCAGACAATGCGATGCCAGGATCTCAGGGCACAGCAGCGCCGATGCCGACGGCTGAAGATACGACAAGTTGCCGGCACCGCTGCTCCCCGAAGTTCTCCCAGGGTGCGTTCTGACCAGGATTTCGAGGCGAATCCAGAGGTGGCGACGGGGGCCTCCCCCGCGAGGCCGGGGTGACAGTATGGGCACTCATTCTCCTCCTCCTCCTCCTCCTCGTCCTCGTCCTCGTCCTCATCCTCCTCCTCCTCCTCATCATCATCCTTTGACATCCTCGCATCCCACCGATTGCATCCACAGGCGGCGCATCAGCGATGCTGCGTAGACTTAGCGGCGCACACAATTACAACTCCGGGACGGGTGTGGGGTCTCGGCCACGCTCGCAGGACAGAGCGCGCGGGTTGCGCAGACGTGGAGCTCCGCGCAGCACGCGGTGCTGTCCTCAGGCGGGTGGCAGTGGGGGGTGACCCAGAGGGGGGGTGAAGAAAAAGGCCCTACAGAGCCCTTTCGGGCCCCTTGAGGAGCCAGCATGGGATCGAAAGGGACCCTAAAGCTTCCCTTCAGGGCCCCACCCGCCCGATGTGCGATACCCGTAGTTGTACAGCAGGACCCAGGCCAGAAGAGCATCCATCAAGAACACGAGACCCCCGTCGGCCAAGACAAACAGAGCATCCAAGGGCACCCTCCTCAGGGTGCACAAGAGCATCGGACGGACACGAAGAACACTGGGGCACCCTCTCCGAACCGACCTCGACCTTCCCTGAGATCCGACGTAGCAAAACAAGCATGCAACATCGTAAAAATCACGCCCGAAGCCCTAGACCCCATCCGTCTGCGCCATGTCTCGAGCCGGATCGATCTGTGAGGGTCCCGGGTACCGGGCTGGAGCAACAAACGCCCGTTGTGTTAGGTCGGGCATGTCCCCCTACGGGCGGATTGTAAGCGAAAAGGCTTAAATACTCGAACTATTACCCACAATCATCAAAACATAATCAACATGTCGTCCCGTGATTTTTTTGAGACTATTGTTTAATATTCCTCCTGTAGAGGGACAGGCCCGACTTAAGCTAGACCCCATCCTTCTGCGCCATTTTTCGAGCCGGATCGATCTGTGAGGGTCCCGAGCCCCGGGCTGGAGCAACAAACGCCCGCTGCGAAAACAGTGCAACGCCCAGATCTCAGGGCTATACCTCGGTCCGACTGTATATGCACCTTCCCCCTGTAGAGGCCCCTCCTATGAAACGCACAGGGACATACTAATACAACATGACCTCTTTGGAGGCGCGTCCGACCCGAACATATCGTATAGCCATCTTGTAGTATATCGTTTCCTGAGCGGTGTGGCCAGAAAGCGCCCGCCACGACGTATAGACTAAGATTCCTCGGTGCGCGCGTCGCCCCAGGGGGGGCGACGCACGCATAGTATTAGTATGTTGGGGGGACGCCGATCCTAGATGGTGTCGGAGTAGATGGTGTCGGAGGATCGCGCCGCATCGCCGATACATCGGCGATACATCGGCGATGCATCGGCGATACACTGGCGATGCATCGTCGACGTCGGCGTTGCATCGGCGACGTTGACGTGAAGTAAAGCGGGCTGCACATCGAGCCGCATCTGCGATGCATCGGAGATGCGGCACGATCCTCCGACCCCATCTACTCTGACCCCATCTGGGAAACCTAGATTAGCGGGCGAAGAACGGCATAACATAAACTTTTCCGCCGTCGGGGGCGCCTGTCCCTGGGCGGCTGTTCCAAAATTGACACCCCCTACGTGGCACCGTGGGGGTAGAAACCTTGCAACCGCCTTGGGGCCAGACGTACCCGACGGCGGAAACGTTTATTGTATACCGTTCTTCGCCCCCTGACCAGACCCGCTGGCCGCTCCTGCCGGCTCATCGCGGAACTCTTCCACGCCTGAAGGCTTCCCCCCTCCACTCGCGCGGCCGCCCTCGTCCTCGCTCCTTCCGCTGGCACGCCGGACAACGCGCCTCTCGGCTGCTCCGATTAACCCCACGCTGGAGGGGACTGCCTCTGCCTCGCCGCCGACGGAAAACATAGAAGAAGAAATAACGGCATAAACATGAACATTTGGCGCTCCGCGCGGATTTCTCGGATCCGCGCTGGACCTCCCTGGCGCGCGGAGCGCGCTAGGGGCGGCGCCGGAGGCGCCGCTTGGCGGGGGGGCCCAGCTCGGATCTAAGAAATCCGCGCGGAGCACTAACAGTCTTGTTTATATGTGTTTTTCATATAAAAAAGCACCTTCCCCCCAGGCTGCGGGGCTCTCACACCCCTGAAAACCCCATCGGGCTCTCAGGAGAGCTTGAGCCAAAAAGGCTACGGAGAAGGAGGAGGAGGAGGCGGAGGAGGAGGAGGAGGAGATGGGGGAGGAGGAGGAGGAAAAGGAGGAGGAGGAGGAGGAGGAGGGGGAAGAGGAGGCCTGGACCCCATCTGGGAGACTTAGAACCCGTCGGCGGGGCGTCGGCGCGACCGCGCGGCCTCCGCGCCCGCGGCGCCGAGGCCCAGCGCGCGGCGGGCCGCCGTGCGCGGCAAGGCGCCCTTCAGCCGCGGGCCTCCTGTGGAGGGTTTTTTCCGAAGGGCTTAGGCGACCCGTCCTCCTCCTCC